TGGCAAACAATGAGAAAACACAGGCGTATATCACGCCGTGAAAGGCGCCGATCAATACCCGCATCAAAATGACCAGAGAGTAGTGGACTTCAGCCAACACTGGTATGAGTGCGTTGAACACTGCGGGTAATAATACCCCCAAACCTGTCATCCATTTGGCACCAAACCGGTCGGCATACGAGCCCAGCATTTGAGTCACTGTATAGCCGTAGAAATATGAGCCCAGTATAACACCCTGTATTGATGCGCTCCACATATATTTTGGACCCTGATCAAATTGATTACAAAATTAGTTATTAACTTACAATAAAATATATGCATCAACATTACTCATTAAATAAAATATTTATACTTACGTTATAAATTGGACCGGAATTTGAGACATTAATTCTGGTGCTGATATCATAGCACAGGTCGTTGTCTTGAATAATAGTGTCCTCCTCTTCAATCACCTCCAACTCGTTGACCATCGCTATGATAGCGACACTCAGATTGGATCGCAACACATAGAGTAGACAACAACCCAGACATCCCATTAGACCCACTATTAGCCTCTTTGGGACCAATGGTTTGCCCACATTTTTAGCATTCATTATTAAATAAGTTTAGACAATTTATTAATCAAAATTAAAATTCTGTACTATTATATATAAATTGTATAATAAAATAATAACTTTAAAATAATAACATTTCATAATAATATTTATATTTTAGAGAATTGTCACTCTATTACTTATATAGTATTACTTTTAGTTTTATAACATTAATAAAACTAATTACAATTTATTATGGCTTTACGACTAATACATGGTAACAGAATTTTGTGGCTTCAGTTTGCGTCCTGAATGCGTAAAGCATTAAAAATGTGGTTAATATCGCCGTAATTGTGAGCGCACTGGCAGTAAAGGCCCGGTAGGTATGCTTCTTATGGGAATGCATAACCAGAATTTGTGCATAATTTTTACCCATGATTACAGATTGTATTAAATTTATAGTTAATACATTGCATTTTATATTGTGTTGATGTAATGCAATCTATGTAATGCATGAGTATCTCAAATGTACGTTTGTATAGCTTATATAATTTTATTGCTATTTATACCAGAATGCTCTATAATGTACTTTTTCAGATAATGCACATCAACAGTAAAGATAATTTAAATAATAAACTAGAAAAAATTGACTAGTTCAATCCAGACTATGATAACAAGGTAATGACTTAAATAAGATTGTAATTTTATGGGAATTTGTTTAAGCTCATGTCACACTTATTCTGGTATTTTAATTACAGTATTATGTGATAGAAATGTAAGTAATTATAACTCGTGAGACTGTTTTGTTATTTTATCTTACAAGGAAACTTGGTCTTGTGCCACGAAGATATCTTGATGAATTGTGTATATTTTGGTAGAATAGAGCATAAAAAATAATTTAGACACAATATTTTTTGCTGATCCTCACCCGGAGGGTTGTGGGAGGCGTTTGAACACTTGAGATGAATAGAGTAAATGCATAGCCTGTGCCCCTGCAAGTGTGCATCCGCTCTGCACACCCTATGCATTACCACTAGGCATCTCAAGTGTTCAAACGCCTCCCACAACCCTCCGGGTGAGTATCAGCAAAAAATATGGTGTCTAAATTATTTTTTATGCTCTATTCTACCAAAATATACACAATTCATCAAGATATCTTCGTGGCACAAGACCAAGTTTCCTTGTTAGATTTAAAATAAATTTAGAATTAAAATAAATACTTTAAAAATATGTTGGTAAATTATTTTACAAAAAATATATATTTAAACAAATAACTTGGTCAATTGAAAATTAATATATTCTAAATTATTAACACATAATTGCAAATATTATTTAAGTTATTTATAATAGATTTAATACAAACCATTTATTTTTTACATAAATAAATTGCAAATTAAACTTTAAAATGTTATAAATAATTTTAAGAATACAAATTATTTTGTATTTTAAATAAATATTATTATACAGTATGACAAATGAATTTAAAAATATCATGATCAAATTCTCAATTGTTATGTTATACATTATACGTTATACTGTACATGCAAATAAATATATTGTATATAACTGGTAAATCCCTAATATGTGGTTCAGTCACACCAAAATAAACATTCAGAGTCTTATTAATTCAAATATGACTGGATAGGTAATATGAGCAAGGTGTCTATGTTTTAGCAAATTATTGCTCATAAAGGTTCTGAAGTGGGTGCAAATAGGGTATGTGTTCAGATTTACTTCAATTATTTAAC